CCCACACGCACCCGCCGGCCTCGCCTCGGCCCCGACCCCGCGCCTCCCCGGCCGTCTGCGCTCGCTCCCATCCCGCCTCGACGGTCTCGCGCCCGCGGCCTTCCTGGAGGCGGCCTCCCCTCTCCTCCCGTCTCCGTCTCCCGCGCTGCTTCCCGCCCGCCCGGGGTTCCCTCCAGGAGTTCGCTCTTCGCGGGCAACCCCAATCTCCTTCCCCACCGCCGTGTCTCCGCGTCCGGCCAAACCCCGAGCCCGCACACACGCGACCGCGGCCGGCCGGGCAGCGCCCCTAAATTCACACGCTCCCTCGGCTCGGACCCGCCCGCCGCACTCTATCAACCAGCAAGTTCTCAGCGCGCCGTCCCGAACCTCACGCTCCTCTCTCTACACCCACGCTGCCCTCTCTGCACGACTTTAGAAGTGTCCTCCCACCAAGGACTAACTCGATTGGCTGCGAGAATCTCATTCTCAAGACAGCCGTTCCTTCCTCTCCTGTATCCGCAGCAACGCGCTGCCTCCTGGCTCCCGCCCTGGGCGCGGACGATCCCGCCCCCCGCAGCGCCTCCTCGCGCGGACCCGAGTGGCCGCGGCCCCGCACGCCACGCCCGAATCTACTCAGCGTGGTTATTAGGTTCGCAAGAAAGGCCGAGTAGCGTGCAGGGCAGGAGCGCAGCGGTGCTCAGAGCTCAGGCCAGGTAAGCCAGGGCTGGAACACGGGGATGGAGGTTTTTGGAAGCTGCCCAGGAGTTTCCGACCCGGGACGAGTCTGGACGACCACGCGAAGAGCAGCCGCGGCCCAGGGGGCTCCGGGACGCCCAGCCTGCGCTCCTCCAGCGGTCTGCAAAGGCTCGCGCTGCGGCACAGCTGAGGCGCTAGCAGACGCCCGAAATCCAGCGCGTTCTCCCCCGCGCCTCCTCTCCGTCCCGCGTGCGCCTTCAGCCCTGTTCTTCCGCGCAGGAAAACGCGCACCGCCCCCGTCCACCTTCTCCGGCCCTTCCTCCAGCTCGCCCCGCGAGCGCAGGAACCCGGGTTCTGCCAGCGCCACCCCCACCCCCACCCCACCCCCGTTCGCCTCGGTTCCACGAGTAGAAGGCCCACTGTCACATGCCGATTTAACCACAGGTTTGCAGCTAAAAAGATTACTTTATACTCAACGTGTACATATGATGTATTTATAAAAAAACATAATGTATATATCATTAGATAAACTTTTTTTTTTTTTTCGTTTTTCTCCTGTACCGGGAACCGAACTCACGACCTTGCACTTGCCAGGCAGGCGCTTTGCCGCTGAGCTAAATCCCCAGCCCCTCATTAGATAAACTTTGATTTCTGAGGGTTTAAATATCAAAATCTTCAACTCAGAATTAAGGAAATATAGTATGTTGAATATTACCATATATATTAAAAGCAGTTTTACAAACAAAACAAAAATGTGATTGTATTGTATATTTTAATTTTCAAAAGTCACATTGGTGTTTGGTTCACCATTATAAATCTAAGAATATTCTTAGAAAGATGTAAACATTTTCTTGACTTGAAGTCATAAACTACCTGAAAAAGATTACAACTCCTCCCAAGAAGGAAGAAGTAAATTATCATATCCTCATAGTGTATACATGCAAAAATAGCAGATTGCTTACCTGAGAAGTGAGTAAGGCTGTGTTTGAAAGATCAGTAAATCATTACAGTGACCCTAATCAACACAAGAAAAGTCTTATCAGACATTCTGATAAAAAAATAACAGGACATTAAGTAGATAAATGCTTTTATTTTATAAATGTAAAAGAAATTAAATAGCAAATACATTTCTCTCTAGCTAGTAATACAGACACATGAAAGCACGCGTACAAGTGTACACACTCTACACATACACACACACACACACCAACCAGCTATAAGTCTGGGTATGTACATACCAAACTTCAGGGACACATTTTTACCTAATCAGTATGCACAGATGCATAAAATAAAAAGAAAATATACTTCAGGTGTTTTAACCAAACAGCTTTCTCCTGAAGGGAGAAGCTATGGGTGAGTGTCAGAAGGAATAAAAGGCAGCTTCAACAACATTTGTTATGGCTGTGTCTCCCTGTCCCCCCAAAGCCTCATGCAGTCGGTCATAGGTGGGGCTCTTTCAGAGGTGGCTGGATCTACAATGTGTGATGCTGGGATGAAGGGTGTGTGGCTACTCAAACAGTCCACTGATTGGTTTGGCATAGTTCTGCGTGTGGGTAATGGGAAGACCCTCCCTGGGTGTGAGTGCTACTTGCCCGAAGTAGCACTGGGTGGAATATAAGGGACAGAGGGCTGCTGCTGTCACTTGCTGCTTTGCTGCCTTCCTGCCTTCTGCCCACTGCGGACTGTTTCCCCTCTGCAATGCCCCTCTACCACGCCAGCCAACTATACCTCTACACACTGTGCGCTAAATAACCTTTCCTGCTTTAACTCTGGGTGTCAGGTATTTTGTTTCAGCAATGAGGAAAGTGAGACAGTATTGATAGTGTCCTAGTTCTTCAATTAGCAAAAAGTTTGTTGACACAGGGTCTTGCTGTGTAGTCCACATGGGCCTTGGACCCGCTGTGTAACCCTCCAACTCACAGTGCTGCTCCCACCTTGGCCTCCTGAGTGCTGGGCTTACGGGTGTGTGTGTAAATTAGCAAATTTTATGGGCAACTATTATTAGCATATCTATTATATATACTATATAGAAATATAAATAGGTACAAAATATTTTTATGTATCAAATATGACACAAATGTTTTAATTCAATAAAATTATAAACACCCATAGTTTGATGAAGCTCAAAGAAAACAGTCACCCTTTAAAGGTTCATCTTAATAATCTGGCTGAGATCCTCTTTCTTTCGTTTTCTTTTCTTTTCCCTCCTTTGCTCCCTCCCTTCCTTCCTTCACTCAATTACTCGCTTACTTGCTTGCTTGCAGTACTAGGGATTGAACCCAGGCCCTTCACACTTGATCTACAGCCCCAACACTTAAAAAAAAAAAAAAAATCAGGGTCTCAATAAGTTGCTAAGTCGCCTGGTGTGGGCTCAAACTTGGAATTCTCACAGGGAGGAAAGGAAGAGGAAGGGGATGTAAAAAGCATCAAGATGAGTTGTGTGTATGTACCAGCTCTCCACAGTGAATGCAATCCACTCATTATGTACTGCAACATGTACTAATACAAATTAAAAATTTAAAAAAAAAGAATTCTCCTGCTTCAGCCTCCCAGAGATCTGAGATATAGATGTGTGCCACCATTCCCAGTTCTATTTTTGTTTTTCAATTTAAAAATCTTGAAATGCTTCACAAAAACCACTCATTATGAAGATTAGACATTCTACAAGGTAACATTACATCCCTTTCCATATTTTGCAATGTTAGAATTGCAACATTGTTATTGAATAGCTGTTTAGCTTGAATAAGATAATTACACAGAGGAAATATGTAGGTAAAAGTTTTTCTTACTGTATCCAAGGAAAGTAAGTCATCTTTGCTTCCACCAAATACCATTATTTCATTTTCTTTTCCCAAACAGGCTGTGTGCCATAATCTACAACAGAAAATTATAAACAGTGAAATACTATCAAGGAAGAAACTGGTATTACATAAAAATCAATTCTAGACTGTACTCTAAAATTTAAGCTATTTCAAAAGAGACATGATTGAACTTGAACCTCTGACATATCTCAAAGGGGTTACTATCTATCTATCCATCCATCCATCCATCCATCCACCCATCCATCCATCCTCCATCCATCCATCCATCCATCCATTTATTTGAGACAGGGTCTCACTATGTAGTTCAGGCTGCCTTGAACACACTATGTACTTCAGGCAGGCCTCAAACTCATGGTGATCCTCCTGCCTCAGCCTCCCAAGTACTGGGGTTACAGATGTATGCCACCATGCCCAGCAAAGGGGTTACATTTTAAAGATCTCACTAGAGTTCATTAAATCATTTCTTTTTTTAAAAAATTAAATTTATTGGTACAATTTAGATATAAAGATCATACTCATCATAGGGAATTTGTACCTGTAGATGATATACTTTGATTTTTTTTTTTTTTTGAGACACAGTCTCACCATGTAATGCAAGCTGGCCTTGAGCTCAGTATATAGCCCAGGCTGGCCTTGAACTCATGGTGATTCTCTTGCCTCAGCCTCCCGAGTGCTGGGATTATAGGTGTGTGCCACCACACCCAGCTCTAAAGTCATTTCATTTTAGTTAAGATAACTCCTAATAACTCTGTTGTGTCACCTGACCTTTTTCTAATCCTTTCATCTCATACTTATTATCCATGAAATGCAACAGATTGCAAAGGAACTCATCCCCTCCTCATTGCTCAGCATCTTTCCAGCCTATCTGAGTCCGCCCCTGCTCCTGCCCACCATCAGACCGCTCACACTCTGGGTACACAATACCACAGTATGTCCCTAGAGCTTTGTTTCTAATCTTCTCTGCCTACATTATACTTGCAAATGTTTTAGCCATTTGAAAATGTTAATTAACATACAATGTTTGCACATATTCAAGGGATACCTGTGATAATTTAATACATGCATACAATGTGTAATGAGTATATCAGGGAAACAGCATTTCCATCTTCTCAAATATTTATCATTTGTGTGTTAGGAACCTTGGACTGTTCTAGTTATTTTGAAATATATCATAAATTTTAGTAAACTATAGTAGTTTGGAAATTTCCTGACTAGAACCAACAGCTGGTTTTTCTAGCCTAATATTTATGATCAACTGTGATTTCTTTCTCTCACAAATCTTAATTCTTGCCTCTTCCTAAATGAACTGTCAATTTCAGACAACTCTACTTCCTTGCTTTTAACCTTAAAAAAGGCTTCTATCTACCTCTAGGCTTCTGTTTACTTTTTTTCTATGCTTAGAAAAGTCATTTTTTTCTAAGCCTTAAATACACTCACAATCCCCAGTAAGTGTTCCAAATAACCAATCCTAACTGGTTTGCAGTCTGTGTTAAGTTCATTTTATACACTCCTCCTTACATTTGAAGATTAACTGCTCTGTCTACTACCTTAGTTATCTAATGTGTGTGACTTCTAGCTCTCTAAAAAGAGCCTATGAACTCCAGGAGGTCCAAACTTGCCATAGTGCTGTGCTGGGACCAGCTCACTGGCTCAGGCCGGCTGTGCCCTTCTCCACCAGCTCAGGTTCAGTGACACCCTGCCAGGAGTCAGGAATCAGCCATGGGGACAGGGTTTACGCCTCAGCAACCAGCAAGGCTAAACGCACCCGCCACCCCACCCCAGAGTGGTTGTAACCGCGTCCCAGCACACCACTGCAACTTGCGTACTCTAATTTCATTTAAATACGCCCAATATGGTATTCTGTACCCAGTAGGTGCTCAAAAACTTTGATTTGAAAAACTGAACACAAAATACAAATACAATTTATTCAGTGATTAAATACACAGATAATAAAGGGTAGATCAATTAACTTTTTTGGCAATGGTCTGATAGTTTATATCCATTCTTTCAGTTTTTTTATCAAAAATAATTCATAGTTTTATAAAGTTCAATATTTCTAGAGGTTTTAGAAAAAACCTCTCTGAAAAAAGTAAGTGTAAATGTCCCAATTTTATAGAATAAATTAAGGACTTTTACAAAGTCATTGATTTTTTACTGGGAACACTTTTCTTTCAGGTACTGGGGAGTGAACCCAAGGCCACTGACTAAGCTAGATCCCTAGCCCTTATTTTTTATTTTGAGTCAGGGTTTTGATAAGTTGCTAAATTGCCCAGGGTGATCTCACCACTCCCCCTGCCCAAGTCTCCCTGATGCTGGGACTACAGGTGTGGGCCACCACGCCTGGCTTGCAATTACTTTTCTTAATAGACCAAATTGCTGAAGCAGCAGACACCCAAAACAGTTACAGATTTTTACATTACCACAAAACTGAGTTTTAGTACATTAATCCCTTTTACTTCAATTCCATAAATGCAAACAGCATATTAAGTATTTAAGTATACATAATTTGTTAAACCAAATACTTTTGTCAAACCACCATGCACATATTCAACAACAAAGGCACCTGTGACCCAGGACAGAGCTGAGTCACCAGATACGTAGTTTGGGAAACACTCTGCCCAGTTCTCCAAATCATGTATTAGAATGAGAAATGGTACTGACATACAGTTTCAGCAGGAACCCATCAAGGAGACCAATTGGAATGACTGTCCCCACGTACAGAAGGGACAGGTTAATTTTCGGGAGACAAGGCCATGTATAGCCCTGGCAATATTCATGGCATCCAGCAGAATTTAGTCTGTGTGTGTTAGCACTTTACTGGATACCCTTCCCAGATATGCAGGAGGGGTCTTTGCCCACAGCTGCTACAAAGTGGCCCAGGAATGGCTTTACAGACGGTTTGCAACCGGGCACAGTTTAAGTCAGGTGAGGCCTGGAGAAGAGAGAACTGCACTGTGGTGTGGGACAGTGTTTCTCAGCCAGGAGTGATGGGTCCTCCAGAAAGGCATTTGGCACTATCAGTGATGCTTTTCTGCTGGCACATGTGAGGACAGCAAAAATAGTACTACTCACATCTGGTGGGGAAAGGTCCAGGGTGTGGTTAGGACACCCCTAGAAAGAGCTATTTGGTTCAAAATGTCAACAGTACTGAAGTTGAGAAACCTCACCTTAGATTTCTAAGGAGAACTGGGCAGCTTACATTTTAAAATGTAACTTGGAAATTTTTGCACAAAATGCATCTAAATGTTAGGTACATTGTCACTTTCATTAAAAAATGAGTATATACACAAACATATACATTGTCCTTACACTCAACTTTACCCCACCTGTTCTCCTCCTCACCTGATACCTGAAGACAGATCTGCCTCTGTTTTATCTGCCTTAGGGAAACTCTTGCCTGGATTTCATCATCGAAGAGCACTGGAAAGCCTTTCCTGCCTTGATTTTGGTGACATCTAGCTCGCAACCTGATGTTTTTTCTACAGACTGACAGTTTATGTCCTCTCACAGCTGCTCTAAACTTATCACCTAAACATGCTAATAAAGCATATTATTTATATGACATATCAGCTGAAGCAAAAGAAATCTCTTTACACAGCTCTAGTTCTAACTAGCATATTATTGACAATAGTTGTGCACTCTAATCATTTATTAAGGGTTGACATAAAAATAGGAGCAATTTCAAATTAAATATTTTTACTACCATTTTGGTCTATACCACATTCACAACATAAAACAAAACAAAACAAAACAAAACAAAACACGGAAGAAAGACACAGTGTAGTCCAGATCCCTCATTTCACAGCCACAGAAACTGGTGCCGTTTCTTCAAGTGACTTTCAAAACAAAAAGCTAAGCAGCATCTTATTGCTACTTTTTTTTGGTACCGGGAATTGAACTCAGGATCTTGCACTTGCCAGGCAGGCGCTTGTGCTGCTGAGCTATATCCTTGGCCCTAAGCAGCATCCTAGTACCAAACTCTTAAGCAAATATGTTTCAAAAGAGCCAGAATAATATATTCTGATGAATTTTTATACATGAAAATATAAGAATCACATATGTAATTAGGATAGACTTTAAGTGTATAGTACATATTAATAGACACAGACATACCAAAGTATATATACTTTTAGAGCTTTTTTCTAGTAAGTTACTCATCATTTATTAAATAACAAAAATATACATCAGTAAATTGACTATAGTAGTATTTCATCTGTAGTGAAAATATCTGAAATACATGGCATGAAAAAGAATATCTATTACTATCATGATTATTATATGCTGAATCTGAATTTCCCCTGAAGATACTTTTTTTTTTGAGACAGGGTCTCGCTATGCAGTTCAGGCTGGCCTTGAGCTCACTTTGTAGCCCAGGCTGGCCCTGAACTCACAAGGATCCTCCTGCCTTAACCTCTCAAGTGCTGGGGTTACAGGTGTGTGCCACCACACCCAGCTAAGATACTTTTATTATACTACTCAATCAAACTTGAAAAAAATAAGAATTACCATACTTTTGTATTTTTTCTTGTCTAATGATAGTATATTGTTTCTATAATTTTTCCCTATATTGTACCACCAATAACTAACTCAAGCTCTTTTTTAAAAAATTTACATTAATGAATATCAGACTATTGTTTTGTTTTGTTTTGTTTTTCTGACACAGGGTCTCACTATGCAGTTCAGGCTGGCCTTGAACTCACTTTGTAGCCCAGGCTGGCCTCGAATTTGCAGTGATCTTCCTGCCTCAGTCTACTGAGTGCTGGGATTAAGGTGTCTTGTGCCACCACACCCAGCCTCAAGCTATTAACAAATGAAAATTATTTGCAATTTACTAGATCAACATGGAAGCAAATTTTCTCATTAAATTATTTTAAACTTCCTCTAAAAAGAAATAACTACTATTAAAACCAACCCTATTCTTCTTCTTTTTTTTTTTCTTTTTGAGACAGAGTTTCATTATGCAGTCCAGGCTGGCCTTGAACTCACTTTGTAGCCCAGGCTAGCTTGGAACTCAGGGATTTTCCTGCCTCAGCCTCCTGTGCTGGGATTATAGGTGTGCACCACCTTGTCTGGCCACCAACCCTATTCTTGTCTACTTATTTATATATTACAATTTTTACAGCTTAACATTATGAGATGTTTTAAATAATCCTTTTCATATTTATCAGGCAAGATTATGAATTACCTAAAATAACGATATTGTAAAATATGCAAATATTGGTAAAAACTAGATAGATGATTTCCAACAATTACATAAAATTTACTTAACTTTTAATTATTTAGGTGACATAAAGCTCATTTGAAAGCTCATATACTTCCTGGTAGTTTATGATTTCAATGGCAAACACTCTAAGTTTAGTGCTACATCTTAATACTTTAAAAATTCTTAACTATTTTGTTATTTGTCAACTTCTAGACTTACCTGGGTCTTGTGTTAGGTAAATGTACAAGTTGTTTCCAACAATTTGTTATGACATTATGAATCCAACCATCACCTGCAATATTATGGGAATTCAGATATTAAGATTACATCTTCGAGATACAATGTTAATGTTTTCCAAATGTATTGTTACTGTATATAATCATCTTTTGTGTGTGCATATTTTTCATAAATGTTTTCACATACATGGAAGGGTA